GGGGGGACAAATGGGGGGGCTCAAGGGGGGACAAATGGGGGGACAAATAGGGGGACTGAGAGGGGCACACATGGATGTCTGTAAGGATAGCTTGTTTTAAATCCTCACTTAAACCGATTCCCAGAGCTGTTAAGAGAACAGCTTGATTTTAAGCATGCGGTTCAAAGGCAAAAAGGCAGCTTATTTTTTGGGATTTGTGACAGTTTAAGGCCAGTGCTTTGTTTTTAAGGCCAGGGGCATTTAAAGGCAATCAAGTCTTGCGTTTAGCCAGGGGTTGCCGTATATGAGGAGGGTTAGTGATGCGGCATTTGCTGTGCCAGCATGAGTCAAACGGCCATATCCGAGCAACCGGGGGTCCTATTCCGAGGCCGACCTCTGACTGCCTGTTCGCCTTGCAGCCAGCTGCGCATCGTGGAAGGTTCCAAGACCAAGGTCAGCAAGTTCAGCAGCGTGGGCCTGGATGGAGCCATGGTCATTTGGGACTTCAAGGTGACTCTCCCTCCTTCGTGGCTGAAGTCTCCGATAATCACAACTGGCCCTGTCCTTAATTCTGTGTGTGTCTCTCTCTCACTAGCACTGAAAGCAGAGGGAGGTGTGTCCTGTTAGCCGTTCTCACCTGCTGTTGGGATTGCTACTCTCCTACAAAAATGTGTGTAAAGCACCTATTTAAAGTGTAAACTACAGGCTATTTAAAGCTCCTGTGCATTAAACCATCAGAAATAAAGATTGGTAAAGAGTGGAACAGCATTCATGTAAAACTCAAACATCAAATTCAATACACAGTCAGTACGTAAAAAAAATATGAACAGAAAATGAGATCAATGAGCTAGCATCTGTATTCAACAACAAACAACAGAAAATATCAATAAATAAATTAATTACAGCTTTTTACTTATTGTTCATCTTTGACTCTGTGTTTGAATTTGTATGCTTGAATATTTTGTTTTTACTGCAACAGGAAATTTTATTTGAAAGTTTAAATTTAATAGTAAAATAAACAAATCTTTGCACTGTGGAATATGCTTGGGTAGCCCTCTACAACTGTCACAAAGCCCATCGTCATCATTAAGCACTCTGTGGCATTATTATGGAACAATCCTTGGGAAGACCACTGAAAAATAACACAAACAGCATCCCTGTGCACGGAGATCTTATCTACTGCACACCTGGGCGTGAAAACCTACCATTAAAATCCTGTGACCTTTCAGCTGTTGCGTCTGGCGTGACTCTGATATATTGTAGCTTGTAGTGGTAACAAAAGATAACCAGGCTGTATTTAAACAATCCAGCTGATACCAGAACTGTCTGACAATCTCTTGCTCAGCTTGCTCTTGCACCAAGGACACTGCCATCCTCGCAGCAATTGACTGAACTATGAACTTGCTACAATATCTGTTTGTCTGACGTAATAACAGACAGAAGAGAACAGACATGCTAGCCTGCTGTACACTCAGCGGAGGGGAATGTAAACAGTAAGCCAGTGTTTTCCCAAGTACTTCAATGTGAATATCTCAAGCTGCCGGACCGGCTCTTAAAGGTGAAGGAACCCTGAGACACACCAGCAGAAGCAGCCTCTGCATGAGAATATCCATGCAACGACCTAAAGCTGCAGATATGCTCAATCTTGGCAAAGCGAAATGGGTGTTTTCCTTGACAGATGTGTCCAGGTAGCAACACCACCTGCTTACGGAGTGGTTGGACTCCTCCACGGGCGTGGCCGTTTTGGCCACTACAAAGTTCAGCCAAATTTAACCATAAATTACAGCCTAGATAAAGGGTGGTTAAGCATTCGGCCTTAGCGAGTAACTATGGATGCTGACCGGCACTTTCACAGATGTCATTAATATGCAGCAGCTTTCCTCTTGAGCTGCTTCCTTTCGATATTCATCCAAGCCATGTAAGTGTGCTTGGCCTGAATCGATCTGCACACAGCGTTGCTGACCTTCCCTGACCTCAGCGTCGCATCTCGAAAGCTACTGCGGGCCACTGTTGCAACTTTCCAGCATTTTGCAAATAGCCGTTCGATCTTAATCCGGACAAACATCCTGCCAGCACACTGGCAAGGCTCTGGAGATTAAGTTGGTTAATTTCCCATGTGGCACTTTTTTCATCCTCTACAAGAACTACCTAAATACAGGCCTAGGAACACTGTGCATCGAGGCACGTCGTGCTAATTGTAGGCCAATGAGAAGAGGGACCTACTCGTAGGCCAATGAGAAGAGGGACCTAATCGTAGGCCAATGAGAAGAGGGACCTTGTTACTGTCAGCGCCGTCCACCTGCGATGAGACTCATGTGAGGATGTTAACTCCACCTCAGGATCTCCAAATGTTACACCTGTGTCACACAAACTCCCCAAGACAGGGCTATAAATATTTATGAAAAGTCATAACATTACAGACATGTTTATTATGCATTATGAATGCTTTATGAAGCTCTCATATATAATGCATTATAGATACATCTATAATGCAGAATAAAGCATCCATAATGCTTCTACCGACCATTATAATGCATTATAAAGGCATGTATAGTGTATTATAGATGAGAGCTTCATAAAGCAGTCATAATGCATAATAAACATGGCTATAATGTGTTATGCCTTTTGATATATATTTATAGGCATGTTATAAACATGCTTTATGAATGCATTATTATTTGCTATGAATGTGTTTACAAATTACTAAAAACGTGGCCTTAAGTGTTACGAAACCCACTACTAATTACTTCATAATTAGGTTAGTTCAGAGTGTGCCAATTGCAATAAGCCTAACCAGCTGACCACGCTGATTAGCATTCTCTATAAATCGTACATGCATACACTGCAATCACTATCGAAAGCTTCCCAGTTTGGGATGAGATTGCGCAAACAGGATCGATCGCGTGTGTGAGCTGTCCAAGGTACTGAACATAAACCCTGCACTGCATGCCAGATGTGGTCGTATTGGGCCCTGGGCAGACAGTGCCGCCACCACGCTACCCAGCGAAACAGGGCCAGACCCTAAGGTGTAGGGATGTCTTACACTCAAGGACAGTGAGCTTCAGTACGCTGTGCCGAATCACACCAATCCAGATCAGGTGACCTACAGCCCCATAACCTGATTGGTCTGTCACCAGCTCCACTATCTGACCCATAAAATAACCTTTAATCGGCAGATACCGTGCTGATTGTAGCCTTTTCATCACTATGCATCATTAATCTGTCACGTAACTTATAGTGGTTACAATGCACCATACTGCGGCTTACTTCTTAACTTTACCTCTCCCTGTTTGCTTTTAAATTGCACGTGACGCCTAATCATATAGCCTCTACAAATATACATTTTAAACAGAAACTTTATTTCTTTGGAATAAAATAATGTTCAAGGTGTCAGATACCGGCATGGCTCTTGGGGTTCTTTGTTGAGGGTGGCTTCTTTAGGAAAGTCTGAATCATCTGGCGAACTCCATTGTACATGATCACGCTGTCTGTGAACCGGACTTGTGACCTCAGCAAGTTAAATGACCTGTGTGACAAAACGGGTGGTTCTCACCAATATGACGAGAGCAAATGTTTTGGAAAATGGTTTATCTTGCGTTCATCGGTGTGTATTGAAAGGAGTTAGAAAATTCCTCATATTCCGTTTGACTGGAAGTGGGTTGGGTTATAGGTCTGCCATCTGTCATTGGTCAGGCACATCATAAAGATCACTCCTCCCGTGAGACCGCTACAGAATGAGCGTTCTGGGTCACCCCTTACTGCAGGGGTACCTGGGAGTTCCTGTTAAAACTATACTTGAGAAATTATTTGTATATTAGGAGATGCTTCTGGTAATTTCTAGTTGAATCAACAAATTGTGAGCTATACATGTTACATTGGACAAATGCATCAGATAAAAGAGGCCTTTTACAAGGCCTTGCAGAATGTTGTGTGATTAATGATTAAGCATTTTCACAGCCCCTTCAGGAGTGCAGACACACACACACACACACAGGTTTGTAATGATATCTTTGTGGGGACTCTCCATTCATTTCTTTGGAGAAAATCCCAACATGACGACCTTAACCCCTACCCAGCCCTAACATTAACCGTAAGTAACCAAGCAAAATACGAGACTTTAGACATTTTTAGGATTTTGATTGCACATATTGCATATGTGGGGCACAACTGGTCCCCACAATGTAATAGAAACCTAATCCACACACACACCTCTGATAGTGTCGGGATAATAAAAAGAACAATGTATTAGGTTAGAGTGGCCTGTATTCAAGAACATCCCAAATCGTGCTCTCCTTTGACAGAACAGGTCTCGCTCACCGCTGCAGAGGGTGTCATAACAGGTGTTCTGACGAGTTGAACTACCTATCGAGACGTGCAGTTCCATCGTCTTGGGATTAGGGTTAGGTTTTAGGGGTTTGGGTTAGGGTAAGAGTTTTAGGGGGTTTGGGGGTTTAGGGTTAGGGTTAGGGTAAGAGTTAGTTTTAGGGCTATCGATAAGCACTACGGTAGGATAACTCGACAAAGTAGCTCATTTCGACAGAACACCGGCGCTGGGCTTGGCGGAGGGGGGTGTCACCATGGCCACGGCGACACCTCGCAGGACGGAGTGGGGACTGGGCGTCATGGGTAGCGACGAGACGGACACGGACGCATTAAAACGTCTGAGTACACATTATTACTGCCAGCATCCACTCCCACAACGTTATCTGATCAGTTACCGCAATATAAAAGACTTTGGTTGTGACGATTCTGCGCTCATTGTCATTTTTGAATTTGCATTGTATCTGGGAAAACAAAAATACTTCTTAAAAGCAGGCTGTCCCTTTTGTTAAAACTCCCACAGACTAATCCAGACCTCGGTTCTTTAGTTTTAAATACATACATGCAAACTCGTAGCCACTTCATTTTCCTGGGCTGCCTGTGACCGCACGCACCGGCAGCCGGAGAACTCGGACGCATCTTATCCATTCAAATTCGCTTTCATTTGTTTACGTTGGGCGATATTCAACAAACACGTCTGCGCTTAAATCGTTAACTAATGCCGCCGACTTCCTATACCAACACATAACAGGAACAAAAAAAAAAACACACACACAGACACAAACCCCGCTCGACAGTGTCACGCAGACAGCAAAATAAGTCAATACCACAAAAATATATTCACTAGACGAATATCATTAATGTGATTGTTTTAAGTTATTACGAGAAAGATATGTTTGGAGGTATTGAAGAAAATGACGTAAGACCCGGTGTAGACTTATTTGATGGCACCAAACTGGAATAAACCTGTTTTACCCGGTCGCTCTCGGTCTTGCAATCACCCTCCTCCTATGGTGAGATACGCGCGCGCTCACAGGCATCCTCGCGCGTCACGGTCATCTAGACAAAGTTAAACAATGTGCGAAATTACGGCTCAGTGGACCCGGCGTTTCCAAACCACGGGTGTAAAATATCCCGGCACTATCAGTACATACTTGAGGATTTTTGCTGTGCATTTCCACATTAAAGCACTATTAGCTAAATAGAGCGGACGAGTGTAATTGTTTAAACATCTCGAAGTAGCTTTTTAAAGAAAATGCATCTTCCACTGTGGATTGATAAATATAGGGCCATAGCCTTGTTTAAAGTAACATTAATAATTAAGTGGAAATGAGTGGCACGCCGTATAGTTCGCAGGAGTGCGGTTCACATCAGGAGCGCCGTGGCTCGCGCTGCGCACTCTCCATGCACAAGCCGCATGTGCGCGTTCGCGTCGAGATACCGGCTGGAGCCGGTATAAAAAAGAGAATCCGAAAGACACATCATCTCGTTCACTTGCAGTAGCCTGGGCGGCGGTGGGGCGGACGCTGTGTCCTAAATGTCATTTTTTGAATTGTCAGCGTAACAGAAATGCAATAATTTAGGTAGCAGTTCCTCAGGGAACCTCACCGATACCGCTAGAAACTGAAACAGTTTAGCGCAGAAGAGAGATGAGCTCAGTGAACGCGTGGCCGGGCGCATAGTTAAAGAACGGAAGGTTTCTTTTCCCATCATTTTTATTTTGTTTTATTCACTTCAGCTGGACTGACCAACCTTCCAAAGCTGGTAAGTTAAGTTTCTAGTTATGTTACAGGCTGGCCAACGTGTATTGGGAACAGTGAAGGAAACTGCGTTAAAAAACAGTTTGGAGAAAATACAAAATAAGCGATATAAAACGTAGCATGCCTACTAAAATGTTACATTTAAAAGTTTCGGATGCGATGCATGTCAAAACATCCCGTTATGGTTCTCCCACTACGGGAGCCTTTTAGAAATGTGCTCAGTATTTTAACCTGACTCCATCCATTCGACCATTTTCTGTAACCGTTTGTGCTATTCGGAGCATTTTAACCTGGACTCTCGGGACTGCAATTCTTATTATTCGGAGAATCCTTAGCGCTGCTTTGACTTGGTGTCCCGAATGAGGCGCATTACCTGCATTGTGAGGGAGCGTCAGTCACGGCGCTACGGCCATGTGGCCTGATTCCCCGAGGGTGATCCGGCTTGCGGGATCCTCATTGCTGAGGACCGGAGCGAATGGACCCCGCCAAGAGGACGCCCACACTTAGCACCTGGCTGCCGCAGACGGCGATTTCCGAAGGGTGGGACAGGATCGCGTGTCCGCCTGGGGGGGAGGGTCGCCAACCGGGATCCCGAGGTGTCTCGTCATGTGGTGGGCATGGCAACAGGGTGTACCAGTGCATGCCCCCCAAAGTGACCTGACCTGACCTGACCTCAGGACTGAAAAAATAATGCGTTGATCAAGATTACAGGCAAAATTACAGTTTCGTCATCGTGAATTTCATGCAGCTTTACGTTGTGGCCTCAAACAGAAATACAAATGCTAGAGGGCAAAGTTTTCCGTGACTGTATGGAAGAAAACCACATTTAACATGTAAATGTTTGATTTATCCTCGTTATTCTGCATGCATACGCGCCGCCAGCATGTGGCGTGACTGCAATTATACTTGCCGAGATAATGGAAGCTGACGTGTAGAACTGGCGCTGACATGACAAGTTACAAGGGATATTCTGACTTTGCAACGACCTCGGGCACTTTAATCTAAAAACGGCAATGGTACTATAATTACATTAATCTTAGGGGAAAATGGACTCTTCGTTTCAAGGGCAAGCCTGTGTGTAATTATGTACAATAAATGCGCTTTTTTATAAGAAGATGTAACGAAAACCATTTGGATGTACTTCTAAAGTAATGGGAGTAAAATAATAATAATAAAAAAAACCCTGCAGTCTGTTGGGTCCAGTAGAATTTGCATATATTGGTTAACACTAAATACTGGATATCACTGAAATAACCATTTTGGGTGTAATTACTGTGTAGGTGTAGAATGACACTGCAGAGATATTGAATTCCATTTAAATTTGTGGAACACCCTAGCTAAGAGTTGCATTACATGTCAGACAGGTATGCCATCCTTGAGTTAGGGCTGACGTGGTGCCAAATATCATTGCAAAGCCCCATCAGCTATATAGACACGCTGAGATTTTACATACACGTGATGTATTTGCACAGGTGAAACGTGGGTGGCAGGACACCCCCCACCACCACACACAAACATCCCGGTGATCTCTGGCAGGTCTGGGAAATGCCCGTGGAGACCGGCCGCAGGGGGGGGGGTATCTGCTTTGCCCCTGCACCTCAGTGACAGGGGGCTCCACTGCAGCTCCTCCGTGCAGCCGCACGGCAGAACTAAATCAGGTCGCGTCCGTGCCGCAGGGCGAGATAGACGTGTGATCAGAGCTCGTCCCGGCTGTGTCTGTGGTGCAGAAACGTCATACCCGCCATGCCCCGGTGTAGGAACCTGCGGAAACTGGACTTTGGCAGGAAGGTGTGGTTAATAGCACCGGTTAAACGTGCAGTGACACATTGTGACACACAGGGCAGTGCGAGATACTGGCGAAGTGTCCTATAGTGGTGATTGGGTGGGATAGACTGTGGTGCGACTCCTGAGCCAAAAGACCATGCACTAATTTCCAGTGCGTCTAGACTGCCTTTGCTTGTGCAGACATCCAGCACTGAAGTCATGGTCATCTGTGCACCTCCACGGGTTCTGTTTCCCACAGTTACCCGGAGGAAATGCATTTGGTGCTGCTTTCAGAGAGCTGACACATCAACTCTATTGCGAAACATCCCTGGAGCCATAGCATTGACTCAGCGCCACTCCTAAGCCGGACTTTTTTTCCCCTTGCGGGCTGTACTTAGTGTCACTGGCGGAAGGGCCAGACCCACAGGCAGCCCAGAGTAAAAGTTTGCGGATCGTCAGCCTGTCCGTTCTCGAATGTTCTGATTGAAAAAGAAGTTATGTAGGCCACATTTTTAAATACCATGTCCGTGGTAAAAGTTATGTTTTGATCAAAATGTCTGTCAAAATAATCCATGATATCGACCCCTGGTTATGATGCTGTTTATGCCGCCCCCTGCTGGCTTTATGTTGAACACTGAGTGCTCGGCAATTTCATTAAAGGAGATGGTTTCCTAAATGAATAAGGGCAGGTTAGCTGCCAAGTGACCATAGTCTGTCCCGATTCTTTCAGTGTGGCCCGTGGAACATCTCAGCCAACCATGAAAGCATGGAGATCGAGGGTGACGGGCTGCCTGGGGCCCAACGTGTACCCCCAGGAGCCAGATGGGGGCTGGGGCTGGGTGGTGGCCGGGGCCTTCTTCTTCGTGGAAGCCTTCACCTACGGTTTCATCAAGAGCTTCGGCGTCTTCCTGCCCGACCTCATTAGAGACTTCGGCGAGAGCAACAGCCGCGTGTCCTGGACCATCTCCATCTGCGTGTTCGTCATGACCTTCACAGGTGCGCCGGCACGCCCTCGTGCACTCACATGCAACTGGCAAACTCTGCCCTAACGCACAGTGATCCCTCATTCATTGTTTGCGTGATCTAGATTAATCACTGGCTCGATGGCAGCCTCGCTTAACCAAATGCTGAGCAGCATCTGAGGAGGTCAGCGGTAGCTTCCCGTCGGCACCACGCCCCGGACTCCGGGTATCGTGGGAGCCTGAAGCATTGCAGCTGAGAATAAACCATTTCATGTGCCTGAGAAACTGTTACTGTCACACCATGTTTCTCTCTCTTTCTCTCGCTTCATGGATAATTTAACTTCCTTGGGACTGAATGGTAGTCATTCTTGGCCAAATCGTGCTCACGGAGGATTAAATGTACCTCTGTCAGGCGTTACGCAGCCTCTGCACAGGCACTTGTGCCCCAAGTGACTCACGCCACTTCTGGTGTGTCACGTCTGTAGTGCTGGATAATTACACCAGAAATCCTCATTACAGACTTAAGTGTCACCTGCGGCTCCCTGACTGCCCCGCCTCTGCCTACATTCCCTGCCTCTGATTGGTTGTCCCGTCCACTCCCCAGCTCCCCTCTCCTCAATGCTGACTGGCCGGTTTGGCTATCGGCTCGTCGTCATTGCCGGAGGTGTCCTTACCTGCCTGGGCACCGTAGCGACTGCCTTCACTAGCTCCATCAACCAGATGTATGCCACCATGGGCATATCAGGTAACCCTCCCCCACAGACCACCACTGCCATTATTTAGCCCAGGGGTGGACAATCTAATCCAGAACGGGTCGTTGAGTGTACGGATTTTAGATTACTAATTAGAGGACTGATTGGCTGAAGAGTCCTCACACCTGGGTTTGAACAGCTGACCTAAAGGTTATCCCAAATACCTGCATACACACCGGCCCTTTGCGGATAAGATTGCCCACCCCTGATTTCGCCAGTTAAGTGGTTTTTATCATATTCATTAAAACTCACATTTATATGACATGTTATTCATATAGCTGATGCTTTTATCCAAAGTGATTCATGGTAGCAGGAGGTTATAGCTTATGCTCTTTGGGATTCGAACCTATAACCTTTGCTGTCATTAGCACAACACGTGCTGATGACGTGCTACAGGAGCTTTAACTCAAAAACAGGGGAAAAAGAATGCTGTGATTTGACTTATAAAAATAAATTGCAGATATAAAATATCTCCAAATAACAAAAATAAAAGGTTGGTTCTTTGAGGCACAGAGGAGGAAGGTGTAAAAATGTTGACTAGCCATTACTCTCACAGGCTACAGTTTGGAGCTTTGTCTGAGCCAGCCCTCTCTAACAACACAATTTCTCTTTCCTTTCCTCTCTCTGTCTCTTTCTTGTTTTTGTGTCTTTAAAATCCAGCTCTTTTTCAGGGGCCTACAGACACATCCGCCATGGGTTGACGGAGACTGAGCCGCCGCCGGCCAGTGGTATAGCGCCCCCTGGCTGTCATGTTGCTCTCTGCTGTGTGTTCACAGGCCTTGGCTACTGCCTCACCTTCCTGCCGACCGTCACCATCCTATCGCTGTACTTCAACCGCCGGCGATCGCTCGTCACCGCCGTCGCTTCCACAGGGGAATCCTTTTCCATATTTGCGCTCGCTCCAGGTGTGTCTTGCGTGCACGTGCCCAGCGGGCTGTCCGTGAAATCATGAGGAATAAGCAAATTCACGTGAGGTGGCAGAGTAGGGTGTGATTTGGGGATCACATTCAGAAAATCAGAAAAATTAAGGATGGTTATAGGCAGCGATGCACATAACTGGTATGTGAGCACGCATGTGGCGTATAAAGCGATTTGCGCAGCAATTTCTTGCCATAAAAAGGTTCAAATGCGTGGTATTTTCTTGTCATACCAGCACAAATGCACATAAAATAAACATACCTTTGTACTGTTACTGCAAGAAATTGCTGCACGTGTCGTTTATACGTCAAATGCATACTTGCATACCAGTTATGTGCATCCCTGGTTATGGGGCAAGTCCAGCATTCTGGATGGAACATTTACTTCGACACTTCTATTCAAAGTAACATGTATTTGAGAGGGTGGGGTCGGCCAGTCCCTGGTGCAGTTGGGTTAAGGGCCTTATTCAAGGGTGAAACCACTCTGTCCCCCAGAGAGGGTGCAGCCCAGTGATTTTTTGCTCCCAAACACACCGCCCCATTTTAGACTCCTATTGGCAAACGAAATACCTCAGAGCGTGAACAAGCCTAATATCAAAGAGGCAATTTGCGTTTCTGTTCATGCAACCCCTTTGGGTTGAATATAGACAAATCCTGATAATTCATATATTAAATTGCATAGCATTTTATCAGCATTGGGGTTGACATCAGCATTGTGACATCAGATGGACGAGGCAGATCTAGATGTAGAGCCCAATATCTACAGCATAGGTGGAGTTACTAAGTAAGGGTAGGTACAGTGTAGATGCTGTATGGTCACCAGGTTCAGGCAGATGTTGTGTAGGACCACCAGGCTCTAGGCAGATGTGTGGACAACCAGGTTGAGGTATGTATGGTGGTCTACATGTTAAATGTGTGACAGGGGTCTATCCGAGGACCGGTCCTGTTCTAAGGCTCTGCCTCTTGAAATCCCACAGCTTTTGCGGCCTTGAAGGAGCACCTGGGATGGCGCTACTGCCTCCTGCTGGCCGGGCTGCTGCAGTCCAGTCTTGTGGTGTGTGGGGTCCTGCTAAGGCCCATCGTGTTGAAGCCAGAGCGCGCAGAGGGGCCCGGCCCCGAGGGGCCCGGCCCTGAGGAGCCCCTGACGGGGCCGCTGGAGAACACCTTCGCCCTGGAGAACGAGCTCACCTGCACGTCCATCAGCTCTGGGGACTCGGGCCTCCAGTCCATGTCTGCCTCCTGTCCCGTGCTAGCCGTGGAGGAGAAGTTCCCCCCCATAGCGGAGGAGGTCCCTCTGAAGCGGGCCGAGGGCCTGCAGGGGGCGCCGGTGTCGGCACGGCCGCGGCTGCTGGACTTCTCCACGCTGCAGGACGGCGGCTTCCTGTGCTACGCAGCCTTCGGCCTTTTCGCCACGCTGGGCTTCTTCGCGCCTCAGCTGTACGTGATCCCGCTGGGGGTGAGCCGGGGCGTAGCCACGGAGCACACCCCCGTCCTGCTGTCCACCATGGCGGTGGCGGAGGTGCTGGGCCGGCTCTGCGTGGGCGTCCTGCTGGGCCGGCTGCCCGTGCGCAAGCTCTACGCCCTGGGGGTCTGCGTGGCGGCGCTGGCTCTGGTGCTGGCCGCCTTCCCCAGCGCCGCCGGCTTCTGGGGCCTGAGCACCTGCTGCGCTCTCTTCGGCTTCCTGCTCGGCACCGTGTGCTCCACCCACATCCCCATGCTGGCCGAGGACGACGTGGTGGGCGTGGAGCGCATGCCCGCGGCCGTCGGCGTCTACGTCTTCATACAAAGCTTCGCCGGGCTGGCGGGCCCGCCTCTGGGAGGTAGGCAGACTGCCACTCGACTGCCACTCGACTGCCACCTGCATTGCTTGTGTTTTTTTTTTCTAAATCGGTCAGGGTGACCTTCACTAGTCACCTGGGTGAATCGCCATCTCTAAACTGCCTGTAGTTTGTCACGGTACATGTCAGCCTCTGCCCTGCATGTGTCCTATGCTGGATAATTGCTGATGGATGGATGGATCATTTCAGAATGAGCTGTATAAACACTCCTGAGTACTTCTAAGGCTCTTTCTGGTAGCACGTTCCATTAGCCGATTCGCAAGACGTTGTAAAGGAGACTGTAATGGATTTTATAATGTAGAATAGAAGCTTCTAGAAGCACGCCCCCGCCAACAGAGGCCTCCCGTTCCAGCATCCGCTGTGTTCTCCCCACAGGGTTCCTGGTGGACCTCACGCAGAACTACGGCTCGGCCTTCTACTCGTGTGCTGCCGGCATGGCGCTGGGAGCGGTCTTCCTGGGGTGCGTATTGCCTGCCAGGAGGGCCGCCTGCCTACCGGGGCCCCCCCGGGCCGGAGACACGCCCAGCAAGGACGCGGCCCTCCAGGACGCACCTGTGGACTTCGTGGAGCTGGACCTGGCGCCGGACGCCAGCCCAGCCGAGCTGGAGACGAGCCAGATCGGAACCTGGGGGGAGGGGGGGTGTCTTAATACCTCAGGGGCGGACGCTGGTTCCCGAGAACAAATGAGAACAAATGAGAACGTGCGATGCTGAACACTGTAGCACGGAGACTATGCACACAGGTCAGCTGACTGCACGTGACGCCAGCATCAGACTATGAACCAAAGACCCACCCGGTGGCGCAGACGTCTTCTGCCGGACTGTGGGAGGTCTGTTCATGTAGAGCAGACCAACACCACCTCTTTCATTCCATGCTGCTGCTCCGAGCTGAAATCTGACCACCTTAAACCCTTATTACTACTTTATGATTAGTTTTTTATTGTCTTTTAAATAACGTGACAGTGTTTACAGAGAACAGACAAACCTATTTTATATCGTAGCCTGCAAGTGCAGCGGAAACGGTGGATTGCAGAGTAAAGCTCACAGTTTGATCCCAGCATTCTGTACAGTCATGAATGCAGTTATTTTTGTCATCCTGAGTAGTCTTGAATGATTTGGGGTTTTTCTTTTTTTGGTGTGTCTGTACATGTATTTAAGCGTCTCTGGGGGGGGCACCTTCCACGTGATGATATCCGTGCTCTTGATATCAGCAGTTAAAGGCAGGGTGGGGGGTAGTTTTTCCAGTCCGTTTGCAGACAAGTCGTTTTTCTCACCCGTTTTTCTGTTTACAAACAGTGAGCTACGGTGCCCTGATTTCCATGTGGGCAATAGCCACGGTCTACTTGTGGTTCCTCAGCTCTCTGAGGTCGCTGAGAACAACCTTCAGATGCTGGAGCTTTGCAGTCACGAGGTGTTGCTACAGTAGATGGGCCCCGTTTCATCTGCGGGGGCACAGGTGTCTTCGCAGGAAACCAGTCGGCTGGCCATGTTCACCATAGGGACGGGGTTACATGTAGGGGCCTGCGGGGGCGGGTGGGGGGGGGCGCACCCACAAGCACAAAGAGCCACACGACTCTTCCCATGATGCTGCTCGCACACAGGATTGCCACTTGAACCGTGTCCCCGTATGGGTGCATTTCAACACACCGATACGAGTGACACGCTTTAAATATAATTTTTTTTATTGTAATACTTTTTTCCAAATCCACTGTACCATGTGCAATCTGCATTTTTATGTTGCTGATATGTACTTTTTGACAGTATGTCCATTGAAATTCTTTCCAACAGTAAATATATTTTTTTGCACTGGGAAAAAAAACAACTGTAAAATAAAGAGTGACACAAACCACAGCTCCTGTATTGAGATGGTTTTCTTCTGGTGCTACGGTAAGAAACCCCTAACACAGCTGCCCCAGCTCTGGTTAACGCCTCTGTGGAGCACAGAGAGAGGATAACTAGATAACCCCATGCGCACGGTTCGGTTCCAAAGACAGAAGACAACTGAACTAGCTCACATTACACACACGCATTTCTGTTCACTTACCCTCCAGCTGTAGATAAGGCTGCTCTTCAGAAACGCGGGCCATCAGAGGTCACATCTCCAGACAGCCGTCGTTTCCGTGTTCACGTTGAGCCGCAAAGAACATTTTCCATGTCGCTCGTGAGCATGTCGTGACCAGCCTAAACCACGCGGATCTTTTTCTATTGAATACGACTTGCTCCTGCCCGGTACTTGATGGTGCAGATACCCCATATCTCAGCATACGTGGCACGCCAGGGCTGTGTGGTGGCCCCTCCCCCTAGCGCCCATTCAGAAGGGTTCATCCCTGCACCTGTCAGAGCCAGAATGGAGGAGGAAACTCTTGCAAAGACACATCACATGTCCTCATATAACAGCGACGCTGTTCCGAAGTCACCCTGCTCCTGCAGCAACAGAAACGGGAAACGGTAGCATTGGGTCACTTTGGCTCCCAGCCAGCATACATGGTCTGTAATGTAAGTGCACCCCCTAGTGTCACTTCAGAGACATGACAGCCCAGTGTGCAAAATGGGGGTGCCCGATTCACGGGTAAAAAAAGCCAGCGTGCTTGTGCTCATTTCCCCCTCGGCGTTTTCCCCTCCCATTTGTAACAAGCGTCTGCATTCTGTAAAGAAAGCCGATGTCACCTCAGGTCCAGTGAGAGCATCTCGACCAGCTGTCAAGGTGTGGAACTCAGTGGGCTTTGGGATTTTCGGATCCCCAGAAGGTGCTGGGCCTCCCAAATCTGCCGGGGTCTCCATGTCCTTCCCACAGCTCTGCTGGAACAAAGTTCTCTGTCTCCGACCGGATGATCCAGCAATGAGTGGTGAAAACTGCCCAAGACATCATCACTGGAGACTCCTCCCGCCCAAACCATAGACTGTCTGCCCTGCTCCTGTCTGGAAGGAGATACGGCAGCTTCCTGTCCCACTCCAGGAGGCTGAGGAAAAGCTTCTTCCCCACAGCCGTCTCAACACCACCACTGACCGTCACCCAGTCCCCCCCATTACTACAGACTGCAGCTGCCTCCGCTTCACGATCATTTAAATATACCGTGTGTATTTATACATACACGCCGTACAGAACTCATTACTGAAATCAGATGCTGTATATACTCCCTATTTATACCATGTTTATCAGGGGTAGGCAATCCTGATCCTGGAGTGCTGGTTTCCAGGTTTTCCATCCTACCTGGTCTCTGAGGGACACCTGATCTCAGGCAGATAGCAACTCATCAGGTAGGATGGAAAACCTGCTGGAAACCAGCACTCCAGGATCAGGGTTGCTTCCTACCCCTGATGTATACCATGTATATAAACCTACATATGAGCGTACTGTTATTAAAGGTCCATACATTTATATATTGTACAGCTGTTTCTAGAACTTTCGTGTTAGACGCCAAACTGCATTTCGTCATTCTGAGTGCTTGTGTTCATTGACAATGTCGAATCTAAACTGAACACAACCTATTCATGGCAACGCCGTGAAGATTTCCTTAGGACTTGCACCAACAGGCCGATTATAGACCAAACAATAAGAACACCTGTAACACAGCTCTCTTTTTTTTTTTTTATTGAGGAGATGGGAAAAGGACTTACAAGCAAGGCCAATTCACATGGGGAGGGGGGAGGAACCACAACAACTTAAAAAAAAAAAAAAAAAAAAGACAGAGAGCCAGTGGTGGAAAGACCGGCTTTGCAGGCAGGCTAAGCTGTGTGATCCACCCCCACACCCATCATCCACTGCCTGAGCGTGCCCCCCCCCGCCGAGCCTGAGCCTGACATGAATGCCGTAATGACTTTTCTCACAAACCACTGAGGTGAAACATACATAACAGCGAGCTCATCTACAGACGTGTTGGCGAATGAAATGATTAATCTGGTTTAAAAGCGAGTGCTTGACGACCAAAAGGTCCTTTGACACTGAAGTTGGTCAGAGCATGGCGCCACATCTCCAAGGACGCAAATCCCTTTAAGGCCTTAGATTCCAGATGGAAATACATTTTGGTGACTGCAATCTGAGGAGTGGCTATATACAGCAAGTATGGTGATTTTTTATCACTTTGGATCCACTGACATAAGCTCTTTACCTCTTCCTGAAACGTCCAGAGCCCCCGCTAGTGCCTCACACTGCCCCTGGCCACATCCCACCCCTGGGAGAAGCTTAAGAGCAGAACCGCTGGGTACCAGCATCAGTGCAGCGGATAAAAACTATATGAAGAAAAAAAAACACAATACAAAATACTGATGCTTACTGCTTCTACTTGAACAAGGCTGACTGACCACCCCAGCTCGCCCCCGGAGCATCACAGAAAGACACAAATGTCCCGTCCACGTGTCAATGTGAAAAACCTGAGCAGCAATGAATCTCTGGTGCAAGAGGGGGGGGGGGGGTAAAGTTGGCACAAGGCACAGAACGGACAGACCAATGAGCGCGGTGTGGAAAACGCACAGCCGGCGGAGGGGCCATGGTGACTGCCGCCTCCCCCCCCCCCACGACGCGACTTGGCTTCTCGGTGGCACCAGGAAAGGCCTCAGGAAGACTTCAGAGTACCGGGGGGGGGGCCCCGAAGGATGCGGTGCAGAAGCAGTGCTTCAGGAATGGAGCCCTGGAGCGACTGTGGAGAAGATCTGGCTGGAACCTGGGGGGGGGGGCATCCAAGAGGGACCCCAGCAGTCAGGGGAGGGGTGAGTGGGCAGAACAGGCAGACACAGGGAGAACGTGGCCTAAGGATATGCAGTGATGGCTCTCCGCCGGGTGTCAAGGACATCAGTACGATAAAATAAAAAAAATCCCCCCCACGAAGCAGGGGCTGGTTATAGATGCCTATAAAGTGTGTTCAGACACCAGACCACACCCTGGCAGTAATGAGAAGCCTCTGGGGTGGGGGGGGGGAGGGGGGAGGAGCAAGACTATAAAAACAATGAACAATAATGATAAAAAAAAAGAAGATTCTGCCAGTCAGTAAAGCTAGGCGTCCGTGAGCCCAGATCCCACAGGCGCACACACACAGACAGCCCTAAGCGGCCGACGTCCAGCCCTGAGATTAAGCTGCGAGTTCCCCCCCCCGAGGGATCCACCTCCCCCCCCGGCATGTGGGACCCACTCTCACCCAGCTAATGCATCCACCGGCAGCGCCTAACCAAAGAAGACATGTAAAACCTCTAAAATATAATTTAGCAAATCGCATACAAAATACATGTAATTATATATAAAATGGAAACAAAAATCATTTAAGAATCTGTAAATGACTGATTAGAAAAATAAAAGGTAAAAGACCAAGGCCAACCAGGTGGGGGTGGGGCAGGAAAATCGTCACCCTGAGCTAGTAAGACACCCGAAAGATAGGGGGCGCCGACGCCCAGCTCGAGCACTTTCAGTTCCGCCTCCGACGTGAGGCGGCTCGAGAGTCCCGCATGTTAGTATACGTAAAAGAAACCGTTTTCTCGGCTGCATGGGTTGTGGCACTATGACCAGAGACGAAAAAAAAAATGGAATCACAAGAGGCCTAGCAAAAACCTTTAAAACTCACTGCCCCAACCACCCCTACCTCTGCTGTACATACAGAGCATCACGAGGTCAGTGTCAGGACCTCAAATAGTCATTCAGAACCATCCTGCATTTCAAACTCCAAAGTTCCCCACCTAAATCCAAACGGTCATAAAAAGGTCACTAAGAAAGATTTAAAACCCCAATGTCCTCGATAGCATCACTGCAGCATGAGCTGCTTGAGGTTATCATGGAGGATGGTGTCCTTGACGTCGCGGAACACCAACCGGATGTTCTCAGTGTTGATGGCGGTGGTGAAGTGGTGGTAGAGGGGCTTCTGGGGCTGCTCCCGCCTCTTGTTCCGGAAGCACTCCACGAGGAACTTCTGCACGTCGTTCAGGCTGTGCGGCTCCCCGTCGTACTCAGGAAAGTAGTCCTTGATGGCCACCGTCCGAACCTTCTCCTCCAGCAAGTCCGTCTTGTTGAGGAAGAGGATGATGGAGACGTTGCTGAAGACGCGGTTGTTGACGATGGTCTCGAAGATGTTGAGTGATTCAGCCAGCCGGTTGGTCAGCCGATCCTCCATGAGAACTTGGTCAAACTCGCTGGACGACACCAAGAAGAGGATGGAGGTGACACTATCGAAGCACTCAAACCAGCGGCGACGCTCTGACCGCTGGCCACCCACGTCCACCATCTTGAAGGGCACGTTCTTGATCTCAAAGTCATACTCATGGATGCCCTTGGTGGGCCGCCGGGCAAGGAGGATGTCCTGCTGCGTGGGCAGGTAGTCCTGGAAGGACGGGAGCAAAAACGAGTTACCTAGAGATCTACGATATATTAGCTAATGTATCGGTATCAACCGATGCATGTTATCAATCTTCAACATCGGTCCAATGTGTCAATCTTGGTCAATATTACCCACCAACATACAGACTTCAGGCAAAGTTAGCAGCACCAGAGCTAAAGACTGAGCTACTGAAATAACAGATGATTGCACCAGACAAACAGCCATTTTCTATTGTGGAGGACAAAGGATTTTAGCCGATTCACCACTTTGCATCGACATTCATTTTTCCTAGCAGACACTTGTCCAACGCACAAGTGCAACTATGCCGAGTTTCCGATAAATTCCCAGTTACGAGCGAAAGCAGGAAGAAGGACAGAAATTACTAGACAATTCAATGACGAGAATTGCAACATTCAAAACAAAACAGTGAACAGAGTTGGAGCAGGCTGTAGAGGGATTCATGGAACAGAATCAGGCCCTGAGGAATTCCTTGAAGGGAACCTGATGACCAGACATGGTTCACGACTTTGTTCCACCATCGGGGAAGAAAACCTCCCTACAGCTCATTGCCTGTGGTATAGTGGCTGCTACAAACATTCACAAGATCTTAAAGTAGTACCGTCACTAACATCAGTTTCATTACAGGTATGTGGAGACGTTCCTCGGTACCAGACAAAATTTCCAGATTGGTGAAAATCACCCTTATTTCCCCCTTGGGTGTCACACAAAGTGCAGCAGGTTCCGTACCTCTTGGGTCATGGTTACCGACAGCCACATGTCACTTCTTATTGGTTGAGACTGGCAAACTCTAGTAGTGTAATGAAACGGCCATTGTTCTCCGTGAGATGGAGGGTTTAAAATCGGCCAGCGATTTTCAGACGAGCCAGATGACCTATCAGCTGCAAGATCCAAGCCACTCCTCCAATCAGGGCTTAGCTCCCAAACAGAGTGACAGATTCGCTGCTCCAACGAGAAGCTCGGACGGGCATGAATACAGATCAAACTCCTGCCATTTAGACTTTCTGCTAAAGGAAAACCTGTTTACCAAGATTCAATTTTTTATTTTTGTTGTTCTTATTTTTAATAAGAAAAGCATCACACCCTATGACTGAAAGACTGTAGTCAAATAGAACAACACAACAACTAAAAATGTATTACTTAAACACGTTTTAATGCTTACTAAAAAATCTATTAGACATAATTAAAGAATGACTCAGGAATATTCTGTTGACATACGTTTGTTACATTAACTGCTTAGGCAATGGGTTCGCTTAAACTTTTTAGCTAACAGGCTTGTATGTGAGAGCGCACGCACGCACAGACACACACAGACACACACACAGACACACACACACACACACAGACACACACACACACACTTCCTGTCACATCCCCTGTTCAGATGCCTGTCCCACAGCAGCGTCCATAAGATGGTAATAAACAGACTTCATAGCTGTCAGGAACCACACCACCCCCATCACCAAGTCTGTACTTCCTTTAATCAAAAAGGGGTGGGGTCCCACAAACCCCTGGGGTTGCGAGGAAAGCTAAGGAATTAACCTCCCCCCCCCCCCAAATTGACACGGTCTCAGCAGGAACCAACCCGCTTAATTGGTGTCGGGAAGTAGGGGGCGGGGGCCTTGGAATGCAGCCCCCGGATGGTGCTGCCCCTGCTGGCGGCCCGGAAGTACTGCGGGGAGGTGCAACAGAATGATAAAAAGTTTAATTACACACTTACTGGTTTTCCGAGTTTATCCAAGTTGTCCAAGAAGTACTTCACTGATTCACCCTGTGAAAGCAAGAGCATTTTCGTTAGAGCCGGGAATGAGCACCAATCAGGATTAACATTAATATCACTCCAGCATTAAAGCTGCTATTTAACACCACACAATTCCATAGTGTCCTCCTTTCAAGACAGAAGGATCTTCTCTCTTATTCCAGAGTGGAGGAGGGGGGAGCAGAACAATCCGGAACATCCTGCCTGATCAGGGAGAAGGATAAGCAGACATCTGTGCCCGTTTGGCCAAAAGTCCGACACCCAAGTGAGCGAACAGCCCTCAAGTGAGCGAACAGCCCTCAAGTGAGCGAACAGCCCTCAAGTGAGCGAACAGCCCTCAAGTGAGCGAACAGCCCTCAAGTGAGCAACCCGAGCCACCCGAGTGACTCATGGCAGAACCGGTGATCCCGCCGCTCCTACCCCGCACCCCTTCCCGGGGAATCTTTGGCAACCCCACCCAGAGCCGGAGGACACCCCCATGACCTGGCGAGTCTAGGCCGGCCGCCACAGTGCCCAGGACGCAGCGTAGCGGCAGACAGGAGAGAGCCCCCGGGGGAGGAGCACTCCGGAATATCTCACCGGCAGATTGATGGAAGGGGGCTACAGCCCTGACTCCGCAACCCCACGGGATCTATCCCCCCCATGCATAATATTAAGGATACACTTAAGAGCCCCCTTTAGAAAACCCTGAAGAGCCTCAGCACCAGCTAGGGATGGGGAGGGCCGGCTGGAGCCTGCCCCAGCACGCTCTGACCAGCATACTTTCCCTGCTCTGCAACTGCCCCAACCTGCCCCCAAGACACGACGGGAGGGGGGGAGGCAGACAGATCACAAGACAGCACCGGGCCGTGACATTTTTTTCCCCTTCCCAGACAATTCCAGGACGAGAGCGAGTCAAGGACTGGTGCGCGACGGCGGGCCGAACAGAAACATGCAGATGCGGATCAGACGTATCTAGGTCAGGTCAACCACACACAGAAGCTCCCCCCCCTCCCCAATACTCCGAGTACGGTTACCGCACACACCACACCCAGTAAGTCCAGAGAGAGAGAAGCAGCTTCCTGTTTGAGGGACAAATCCAGAGATGGGAATCGACACCGTGCCCTAAATAAGGGTGTAAATAACTACACATCAATCCACATGGTAGAATCATCATTGCCATATTTATTACTTATTAGCGTAGCCCCCCCCCCCCAGTGACTCTAAGGGACTTATTTTCCAATCATTAACTCAATTAGAGATATATTCAATTAGTTAACATTAGGGTTGGGTATCGTTTGGGGTTTTTTCGATACCGGTGCCAAAACAGTGCCTGAACCGATACTTTACAAAAGCCACAAAATGATGGTGGATGACTCAAGAATACATTTTTATTGAACAAAAAATTGAATGCTTAAAATTTAACAATATATTAAAAGTTTATAGTATATATGAATATATATGTAAATACAAAAAACAACAACAAAACATAAGCCACCTATGTAATGTTAATTTAGCATTACATTAGCCTACAACTAACCTGCGGAAAGGTTGCTGTCGTCATCATAATCGGTGGACTCCTTTTTGCTACGGTTGGTATGACTGGGGCTGGGGTCATCCACACCGATAGTGCCAGCTGTTGTCCGCAAGCTGTCAAGCACGGTGCATCCCTCTGCTTTTAAGTTTATTCCGTGTACCCTCAAATGTTTCATTAGATTTCACGCGTTTCCCCCTTTACACGCAACTGCTGTAAAACATTTGCTGCACGCCGCGGTGTTGGAATCCTTTCTTGTGAAATATAGCCACACTTTCGACGGTTAAGTTTTAGGCATTTTAACAAAAGTTGTTTAATTTAGCAAGCTAAGATAGCAGTAGACCACCTGCTGCCGTCAGAGCAAGTGTAACGTTAGTTGCTGCATTCACACGCATCTCAGATGGTCTATTTTCCTGATGATGTCACGTGTGTGTTGATGAATCTTATGCTTATTACAACTGTCTCATCATAGCCCCAGAGAACAAATATTTCAATCGACAGTTCAGGCATCGAAGTGGCACCGAAATTCGCGTTTTGTTTCGGTCCGGTATATACCGGTTATATAGGTTTTCGGTACCCAACCCTAGTTAACATTCTCGATATGTTCAGGGTTATACCAGCTGGGACCTAAACAGCCTATGCAGTTGACCTCCATCTGAACCTCGTTCGTATCACCGGTAAACACGGACACTCACCAGCTGGAACTCACGCCGCCGGTCGTAGGCGTTCTGGATGCCCCCGTCTGCCCAGAGGGCGCGCACAGCGGGCAGCAGCTGCAGGAAGACCGGCGTCTCCATGCCGGCCTGGCTTGACAGTGCCGCGCGCGTGTCGAACGCCATCAGGGTCTCGCCGTGCGCCTGGTTCGAGGAATCCTCCCAAGGGATGTGCAACTTGTCCCTGGCGTCCACCAGCACACGGATCCCTTTTCGGGGGAGAAGAGAAAAGTTGAGTGAAGTGTCAACGAACGGCCAATAGGGGGCATCAGTCAGTTTGGCAAAAATTCTCTAAAAACCCTCACGCACTACTTGGTTTTCAAGTCCAGTACATTAAAAGCAACAGATCAATACAGACAAACCATGAGTAAAGGTGGCACAGGCCTCTGTTAGGCCCCCTGGTGGACTCCAGGGTAATGAGGGTCAGTTCCTCATTAAGAGCGCCCCCTACTGTCTTAGAGCAGTATGCCACCCAAAGCCCAAAACGTCACAGCTTAAAAAAAATGTTATATGTTGCTTAAATGATAAAAATATGTCATGACATTTTCACAGTGTATACAAACGATTTACATCACAGTATAATTAATTAAAATGCACAGAGGAAATAAGAAACGTTTCATTAAAATCTGTGAAGCTCACAACGCAAAATCTAACACGCACCATCAATATCTGATAAGCAGGAGTACGGAGAGAGGACATGCCACTTCCCCCGAAAGACAAACGGGTAAACACGCAGACAGCCGTCCCTGCTCCAGTGCCACACACCACAGAGCGAAATGAAATCAAAGCAATTAGGAGGGTTTCTTAAACAGGAAATGGTTGTGTGCGTGTGTGTATGTGAGAGCAAGAGCTAAGAAACCAAGAGCGGGCAAATAAAAAAAAAAAAAAAACGAACGAACTTGTAAACATTACAAAACAAGGGAGGTCGAAGTGAGAAGACATTTCCTCTTAAACTGCTAAAAATACTGCTCTCATAAAAGGGGTGCCAGCGGTCCATGAACACATCCTTAAATTTAAATGTCAGACCCCAAACAACAAAGTAAAGAAACAGTTTAAAGAAGAAATGCAATTCCCTCCCCACTTTTAGTAAATATTTAAAGACATATTTTTTGTGATTATGGCATTAGCATTCATGCTAACATCAGTGTTGTTCTTGCATGCCTGCCAGAGAGACAGGAAATCAAAAGTAGGCCCGTGCCACACACTCAGTGGAGTGATTCAACGCGAAGGCATCAGGGTGCCCCAAATGAGGTGGGGGGGGGGCATTCAGGAAGGGGCGGGGCCAAACCGATTCCTGGACGGGAGCTCGGCACGCAACAGACATCCCCTCGCGCATCCCACCGTCACAAAACCGAGTGACTGGAGTTGAGGAGACAGGGATGGAGAGCGGGGGGGGTGATCTCAGGGAAACCTGATGCATTTAACTGAATAAACAACTGGGGGGGATTTTCAGACATATTCCACCGCAAATGAGCCACAGCAAAGAGATGTGACCGACAGGCACTCTGTGATCTGAGGAATGACTAAACACAGGTTCCTATATGTATGACTATGAATGGAGCATTGGTGAGCTCACCAATGCCCAATTAAGCAGAGTTTCCAATGACACACTGGCCAATAGGACACTGCAGCGCGCTGACTTTCCTACAGTGTTTTTTTTTTTTAAAACACAATCCTATGTACACCAGACGTCAACTCTTAAAGGGAAGGGGATCGGACCCTTGTTTCCCCATCATGGATGACATGAGGGTGTTCCGTATGGCTGTCCGCCTGCGAGGTCCAGTCCCAGGCTCTGCCCCAGAAGGGTGGGATCGCCGAAATGTCCCACTTAAATTACAACTTAAATTAAAAGCAAAAATGATCAGTCACTAAAATGTCTGTACTTATTAACAAAAGCTAACTGGACGCACCCGTAGTGTAGAGAGCTATTTCAGTGAAAAACCCTTCAGATATGGTTTTCCAGTTAGAAACCACGACTCCAAGTAACGGGAGTTGGTGTGATGCTGGGCTGTAGGGCACTGCTCTGGTGAGACAGCCAGCCCTCTGCCCCCCCCCCCCCCCACAAGCCTACCCCTACACCGGCAGACCCACGCCAGGGAAGGACAAAGCACACCAGCCTGTGCCTGCACCCGGAGGCTGAGGCACGAGCGCGATCGATAGGCGGCAGCCCGTACGCACGCGCGCTATGGAGCCCCACAGCGGCCATCATAAATTATTCACCCCTCTACTGGTGGCTACACAGAGCACAAAGGGACAGCATTAAGCGCTCCTGAACAGAGCGTGACCTCGAGAGGGGTAGGAACGGCCAAGGTGGTCTCATACCTGGGCGGCAGGAGGCAGAGGTGGCTCCCACGGAGGAGAGCCCACGGTGAGAGAGACGCCCACGGCATTCACCACCTTCCCTGGACTGAGCCCCGCCCCACGCTCAAACAAGCCACCCTGCAGACCTCATTAAGCAACCTGCCAGTCTGTAAAATACCGTAAATACTGTAAAATGGGACACCGTGGGAGACTGAAACTATACAACCAGGGCAGAGGCTGAAGAACCCAAACTTCGAAACCCCTAAACATACCAGACGCTATTTTGCACTTTTGTTTGATTTAGCTGGTGTGCAGGGATGACATTCATCCACCTTCCACACTGCTTACGGGGTACAGAGATGGGACGGAGCCTCTCTCAGCCCGCACAGGGCACAAACAAAATATCTTAACCTGGGGAGGGCACACAAATCCCCACCCACCTTTATTAGTGTCAAGCAATTACACTGCGCTTATCTGCCAGACTCCTTTCCACAAGATTATGAACTGGATCCAGCATGAGCTGAGAGAAGTGATCAAAATATCAGGCAGGTTTACGGTTGGAGACTGCCAGTCACCCCCCTCCCACAACTGGAAACGTGGTACGAGCCAAGCTCCGCCCTCCTGCTTGAATCCCTGGCTGCTTCCAGGACGTCACTGGAGACAGAAACACACTTACGCACTTGAGGAGAGAGTAAAGCAAATTCTCTATGCGTGTTTGTGTGAAAGGACGGGGGATGTAATGCAAATTGATAAACACAGTGCAGGCGAACCGGCTGACAGGAAAGCACCCGCCCCCCTCCCTTGCAGACAGCAACGAGCATGTCACCCTGCCACATGGAGGGGGGAGGGGGGAGGGTTCAGTGCAGATGGGGGTCCTGCTTAAAACACAGCACCTGCGAGTTTATGTTTACCGTGGAGAAAGTTACTTAGACCCAGCGCCAATCGGTTTGTAAGGAGGGTTTGCGCCTGCAGCTGCAAAAGGGAAGGAGCCCGATGCCCCATTTTTGCCGACAGTGTGAAACGAACATCACAGCAGACATACAAAAACAATATTCACGCAGATACACTTTCCCGGGGTCTGGTAACCACAGAACTACCCTACGAGGCTAAATTCAGCGGCAAATTCCAAGGAAGGATTAATAAATAAAAAGGTATATAATTTTTCTGCACGCATTACAGAATAAAAAAAAAACTTAAGTTGAACTGCAAAACAACAACCCAGACAGTCAGTGTTGGTAATCAAAACGTCCACCTACACATTGAACTTATGGTGAGGATAACTCAGTGTCTGCCCAGAATAGGGTTAGGGGAGCAGAAAACGAAACAAGCTAACGGAACTTCATTAAAGTCGGCCATATAACAACGAAGAGGGGGTGATCGTGGAGGCCGCCAAAAGCCGCTGGCACAGCAGCCACTCCGCGCCGACAGCCCGCTCCAAAATCGCACACACACGCCGGCCGAGACGCAGGTGTCTCCTACAATACTGACAAGGAAATCGAAACATTTTGATTAAATAATAAGAAAAAGACTTAAGAAAGAAGATTTTTACACTGACAGAACTTTTTTGCGTCATGTGGTATGAGGAGGCGTATTTGAAAGTGGTATTAAAGACGCCACTGAAACAGAAAGTTTAAATTAAAAATACCACGTCGATCAAATGAATTTAAGTTTGTATACTACGGGGATTACCAAATTAGGCTTTATTTTGTTTTTTCATCTGCAACCAAGAGTAAAATATTCCGGGGAGGGAAGTAGACAAACGCATCGGTTTTACTACGTCACCTTGGGAGGGCTTCCCCATTACCGACACCCTGCCGCTCCATCTGGACGGTTTCGTGTTCACCTGAAGCGCATGTTCGGTATCGGGATGCCCCCGATGGCTGGGCGGGGACCTGCCTGCAGCCTGGCGAAGGACCTGCCAGCCCCAGCGCTCATGGCGCCCTAAGGATCGCGACGTTTTAAAAGCGATCGACGCCGTCGCCCTGCACGGATTTGTCAAACGCTGGCAGTGCAAAATTATTCATTAGCCAAAAGCACGATATGTACAAGTATACAACGCCACCCAAACTACTTTTTGGGCTCTCAAAAAGTCCAACTACTAGTTTGCTAAATAGAAATCAAAGTTATACTGTAACAAGCAGAAGAATTAAGTCGCTCTTAGCTGAAGGATATTATTCAAAATCTGTAACGCACGTGATACATGTAACTAAACCGGTCTCTTTAGTTAAGCACCCTGCGTGTTATGAAGTCGGCCAGTGCAGATAAGAAGCATTTATACGGCCACAAAATAGCCACGGTTCACGAAAACGGTTCGCTCGGTCGCTCTTTAATCGCGAAACAAGCCCCGATGGCAAGTAAAGCAGAACCGCCCAAAGTTAAGACCTCGGCTCGGCGTCCGGCCACCGAGGAACATGGGCGTTTCTCCGGCGGCGAGCCGGGGGGGAACGACCGAGCCGCGCATAACTTCACGCTGCAAGCCCTGAGCCCTGAGAGCCGCGCACGCCCGCCATAATCGGAATTACGGCCCTCCCCAGCGCCGCTGTACTTTTTAAGCTTTTCACGCGTGGTCTCACCTTTAATAACATTGCTATAGATCGTCGCCCGGAACTCCTCTTTGGCCCGTTGATCGAAGTCCTGCCCGTGTATGATGCGCATCTGCTTGAGGAAAGTGGACTTTCCGCTTTCCCCGGCGCCCAGCAGCAGGATCTTAACCAGGCGCGTCACGTACGTCTTGTCCCGAGAAATACACTTGTCGATCTCTTTAGATTTCCTCAACTGCTCTGCCTCGCTGCTGGTGAGGAGACAGTTAGGGAAACACACTGTTAAAGCGGACCGGGACGGCAGGAAATCCGCCATCTTTGGACCAACTTCATCGATACAGTGGAGCGTTTAAGCGCGCCCCTGAGTCTGACTATGGGCGGGGCGGGCGCGCCTACCGCCGTGAACGTGCCCGCGCGCGCGCGCGCGCGCGCTGCCGGCGTTTGGGCGGGCTGTAGATCACTGGCAGATTGCGAAGGCACGCGATGTGCTTTTCCCGTTTAGTGCGTGTGCGTGAAGCAGTACTTCACCTGTCAAAATAAATCTGGATATCATAATTTTAGTTACAACTAGTACTGCTTGAAACTAACGTAATATTTTACTTACTAGTTTTGAAGTGGTTTGAAGTTAGATAGCTGTGAGTTGTGGTTTGAAGTTAAACAGAGACGTGTATGATTTAAGATGCAATGTTGTGTGCCGCTGAAGTCAATCTCCCAATTCACATAAGCAAGAAAAAGACAACGCTCAGATTCCGTTTTACAAATAGTGAAAGTGAAATTATTCGTACATTTCTTTGGAAAAAGTTGTAACATTGCTGTGGGTAATAGTATTACCTGATTCTCTAAAGAATATTTACATGCTGTTTGTAGAATCGAATTATTGAATCAATTCATTAAATATATCATGCCAGGCGTAAAGGTACATTAAACTGGAAATGTATTAAGTCCGATCCTGGCTGCAGCGCTTCGGTTTACAGTGGCACGACATTCTCCGCAGGGGCGGTGTGGACCGGCCGAGCCCTAGCCATGCATCCCTAGTGAAGATGAGCCTGATTTTATCCTTCTTGTTTTGTAAAACATCCGTCATTCTAAATGGGTATTACAGATAAAACACACACACACACACACACAAATCACAGGTATACAATTATTTCCAAAAAAATATTTTAAAAAATAAAGGATGGTCTATCGGTAGTAATAAAACAGTGGTATAAATAATCATGTATAAAAGACAACAGTTAGTAAAATATTCCATTATTATATCTACTGTAATATATACCACAGCTCTGGAAAAAAAATGAGACCACAGCGACATTTTTTTCTCAATTTATGGGTATGCTTCTGTGTAAAATATACATTCTTCAGTCCTGCTTCTAGGAGCCTGATACGAACTGTCCTAGCAGTGCACTTCACACCACTTAATGTTTCCCATTGTTTTTGAAGGTCATCGTCTGATTTATGAGGCACTGCCCCGATAAACTGACGGTCATCTATGGCATTAGAAAGTATTTTCCGCCCTCTACCTGGCTGGTTTCTGGTCGTTCCCAGTGTCTCCTGCTTCACCTTGTTCTTGTGTACTGCTGTCTTACAAACCCTGAGCCTAGAACAGTCTGCCACACAGGGTTGCCTTCTGCCAGCAGAGCCAGGATTAAACCAGGATTAAACCAGGATTTTATATGCAGATTAGAAAAAATATATAGAGTGGTCTAATTTTTTCCAGAGCTGTATATTCCCCGTGCAGATTCTTGACGAAAAATTAATTGCAATATACACTTGAGATCGATAAGTGATATTGTTTTTGGAAAAGCACTGATTTCACGTATTTACTGTATAATAAACCAACGCAACATTGCACTGTACTATCTCTGGAGAAGCAGATATGTGCAATCACCAGACAAATATATGCCATGGGACGTAGCGCAGAATCCATGCAGCAGGTTGTGGGAATGGAGGGGCAAGCTGTGATTGGATGGATAATCCGCCCCCACCCGGTCTTCTTGCTTTAAACTGGACCTAACTGCTGCGTTGTATCAGTGTGAAATATGGGGCACCGTTCTTAGGTGCACGCACTGTCAAGTTTTTATTCCAGGTAATTTTGTCATATTATAAACTATACAGAAACAGCCAAAATGACAATCCGAACACTTCACGATTACGCTCAGCATTACCGGCCAAGAATGGCCTGTCTAAAAAAGGTAGGTTTGTTGTTTGTTATCTAAAAGGAAGCAGTTGTCTTAATGTATTTTATAGAGCGTCACTAGACTTTTCATGGGGTATCACCCCCATTGCAATTCTCTTAACGTATGAGATGTAAAGATATGTTGTTAGCGGACTCAAATGATTCGCCATTATTTAATCGTAGTTGCTAAACAACTTCCAATCCAGTTTAGAAATGACTAGACTCCTTTCTGTTACACATTTTTTCCCAGTCTGCGATATTGCTCATTCCCCCTCTCATGGTCAATGAATCTTTCACATTCAAACTATAGATTTTTTCTTAGATTTGTTCTAATCGCTGCTGTAGTCTTTAGTTACTGGAATTGGTTTAAAAATGCAGAAGGAATATCTTTAGGTTAATCTACATCTCTCGTCCTAGCGGTTCAGTCTCTCGGTAGATTTACTAGTAAGCATCGTTTTTCATACACTACATTTTGTTTAGTAAAACTTTTGTCTTTCGACATCGCAATCTCGGCCCTCCTTTGTAGCTGGAGGCCTTGGTCGTGAAGATGCAGGACCCTAAAAGTGGAGTGAAGTCTCAGGAGCAGAAGCTGGTAATCACCACCATACCGCACGCCACCACAGGTCAGATCGCTACGCTGGCTGTTCAGCTTCACCACGGAAGGACACTGTGCTATATTCCTTTACATAGCTTTTGAATTAACATCCATAACAATGAGCACAGTCTGAGGAGTGGCAGAGCCCATTACTATATGTATACAATATTTTTTTATCAATTTAAAGACCATGTTTGAAAGACCAATTTAAAGACCATGTTCAAAGCAAATATTCTTAATTCCATTTCCCTTCTTAAATATAAATATTGGTCATATATTTTTACTCATGGGAGTGTTACCTACACAAAAATGTTCTGAGGGTGGAATGAAAAAATGATGATATTGATGAAGAGATAACCAATCAGATTGTCGAGAAGGTAGGTCCAAACAACTAGAGGCGGCAGGACCAACCAATCAGATGTTTCCTCTACAATCTGATTGGTTATCTCTCGGAACCGATCATTTACGTTCTGCCCACAGAACATTTTCATGTAAGTAAAAATGCAAAAAAAGTGACTGTAAAGTTCCAAACTGAAAGTAAATCTAAAAAAAATCAATCCAAGCCTTGATTGTAAATCTGGTCTGATTTCCCCCCCCTCCTCACTATCAACTGAAATCATCCTCCCCTCATTGACTACCTAGGTCACTATTCATATCCCAGGATTCCCCAGTTCCAGCACAATTTGCTGATTTCCCCACTCAGACACACCTGCTATACCTGGCAATTGGCTGGGGAGCTGAATAAGGCGTGTCTGAGCAGGGAAACCTGCAAACCGTGTTGCAGACTGGCCTCCAGGACCGGAATTGGGGAGCCCTGCTATTTCCCTTCCAAATTCTATGCCACACAGATCTGCACTATGAAAACAGATCTCCTAGTTCTCAAAAGGTACTGCCCTGATTGGCTGGCAAATAAGACAGCCTTGTGGAGGACTCAGAAGTGTGCAAGCAAGGGCAACCGGTATTCCTGGAGGTTAAGTCTCCTGTATGTCGGACAGGCCACAATCGGATGAACTTCGCCTTCTGCTCCTCAGCTTCTCATCCCTAAGCTGCCCAGTAATCTCCAAGGCCACAGGAGAGATCATCCTGGGGCTAAAGCGTGCTGGGGCCACGTGGCTCTTCAGGACATCAGTTAAAAAACCTCCTGCCCTCACTGCCATGAACAAAGCAGATGCAGAGCACTGTGCAAAAGCCTTAGTCAGCCAAAGAAAATGATGCTTAGATGATCTTCATGTTGGTATGAAACTATGACATTATGGCTGCCAAAGTGTGTCAGCTTAGCCACGTCAAAACCTCTGCTAAAATCACCCCAGTATTTCCAGCAGCCGTCCAGTATTCCCATGTACTTCTTGACTTTACTACTTTAATGTAACAAACACATGGAGCGGCTGAGGTCCCCCTGAGGAGGGGTTTGGGAACTGAAGCGGTTCATCTAGACATCCAACAAGATATCAGTAACTTTTTGGAGAACAGAAGAAACTAATTTTTATTGTGTCCCTCTCAGTTTGCATACATACTAATGTTAAATTGAGTTTATTTTTCCGAGCTTTAAACATGTCTTTTGACTGCCTAAGACTTTTGCACAGCACTGCATATAAACAGGAGTGTAATGCTGGCTTATCTCCATTGGATACCCAATAGATACACTTCTAATAGCTAAGATTAAAAGGACATGCACTCAGGAAAGGCTTATGAGGCTGATAAGTTGTAGCTGTGGCTGAGCGGTGGAGGAGCCGGACTGGACCTTCATTAGGTCTCCCATGTGTGGCCCAGTAGGTTTGGAAGATGTGTCAGTAAGCGGAAGGTTGCCACTTCCAGTCCCACAGGTGACGGTGTGATGTCACTATGGGGCTCTTGAGCACGGTAGCTCCAGGGTCTGACCCCGCTTTCTCAGAAATGTAAACCTGCTCCAGGCATAGTTGAGCCTATGGATGGGTCGCAACAGGGTTGAATTTACGGACTGGTCGCTACAATCCAACAACAGTTTATAAGAACTGAAAAATCCATTATGTTGTCAGATTGTCAACAATTAAATCCGGATAATTGTTAATCCACACCGTGGTGACACTGTAAACATTACAACTTGATTGTTTGTGATTCGTATTTAAAATTAATGTAAACATTTAAGCTCATGGAAGTATTTGCAGTAACAAATGTCGCCTGACAGTCATTTCACTGTGCAGTTCACTGACTTGCTGCTGCACAGATCCAGGTCTGCTTCTCCACCATAAACAGCAGGCAGGACTGGCCCTCTTTCTTTGCTCCTCTATCTCTGATGTTCTTCATTTCCTGACCCAGATTTAGATCGTCTTCTCCCCCTGTGCATTACTACTACTTACTGACTCTTAAGGTCATGGACCACTGATAAAACTTTACTAAAAAAAGCCTGAATTATATCAGTGTTTTTTTAAGACAAAAGGTTATATCTTAGTTTTCGAAAGCAAACAGACAAGTGGACGTGACTTTATTGTTGTTTTGATATGCGGGATCAGTTCTAGAGGGCTTTCCAAGGTGCATCAGTTGTTCGGAGTCAGTTGGTCCATCTTTGTTCTGATACGAAAGCAAGCCTGTGACAGAGCTTATCATCTGTAAACGGATCTGCACGTCACGCTGG